CCACTAGACGTTTATCAGAATGACAGAAAAAAAGATGTCGATTACAGAAAGTTTGGAAGCTTCATAAAATGAAGGCTGGTGGTCAGGCTGAGGGAGTGTGAGTTTCCCTGTCTCCAGTAGGGGCTCACTGCAGCACTGATCAGCGTGAATAATTCACTGCTGTTTAGGAAAGTGCCTTTGCCCTGCCCCTTGACTGCCTTGAGGGTGCTCCTGTGAAAACCCTGCTGACATGAACATCTATGTACTAGTACTCTGTTCCTTATAGAGATACAAGTAAAAGACCTTGTTTAGGTATTGCCATCAAGAGGAGAAACTTTGTTGGATTTGTTAAGTCTATGAGTTCGTGTATCCCTTCTTCTACCTTCCAGTTACTCTTTCTTGATTTCAGGAAAATAATTTTTAAGCTTAGCGTCATGCAGTTGCTACTTGGTGTTGCTAAATGATTAATAGCTAACATTTTTAGTTATTGCGTATTGACTTAAACGTGGCTCAGTTGTGATCTGCCCCTGGAGCAGCAAAAAAACTCCAAGCACTGAGGAGATTATTCCAGTTTTAGAGATGACTAACAGAAAAAGCACAATTGCTTCACTGAATGCTGCTTTTAAATTTTTATACAAAAAACCGAATTTCTTCAATATCGCTAATGAAGTAGAAGGCCAAGTTTTACACAGTTGCAAATAAAGTTAATCCTGTATTGATGTGGCCACACTGATCTTTCCCACCATACATCTCATGTACTGCACAGAAACAGCAGTAAGAGGGCAGAGGTGGTGGGGGCAGTGCTAAGATGTACAGATGGCAGATGGATATCTTCACAGGGGCAGATCTACAGGGTGTGTTTTACCAGGATTGTCTTAACGCTTAATAAAGTTGTTTTCTATTTTCTTGGCTAAACAGATACTGTTAAGTGAAGCAAAGGGAACAGGACACATCGTTGTGCTGCCCCAAAAGCAGAAGAGGGGTTGTACCTGGCGTGCTTGTGTGCATGTCTGTACCATGGAGGAGCCCTTTATCTGCTGAATCTCCTTGCCACTTTTAGGAGTTTCTTGAGGGTGCCCTGGGAGGCCTAATAAGGGCTGGTTAGTGAGGCAGTTCTTACTTTCAGTAACTAGAACAGCATTTGTGATGGCTTGCAATAAACTGAGCTCTCGTAATTGAGCTCAGATACTGATTTCTTAAAGAGTTTGGGTATTGGAAATTTTCATCCTTTGGAAAAATCTGATTGGGAAATGCTGATACCATTGAATGCTTTGTTAAACCAAAAGGAGAATCAGGGCATTTCCATCTTCTCTTTAAGATTTTTAAATAACCATTGTGTTTTTAAATAGATACTGTGTTTAATCCTCTTACAGATACAAAGATAATGCCAATTGGCTGCAAAGTATAGAAAAATTTTCCTGGATGCTTCTAAAATGTATAAGCATATTTTTCCTGTTTTCTAAAAACTTTTTATTGTCCTTTTACAACCAGCTGGATTTTATCTGCTTAGTTTTGGTTTGGTTTGAATCCAAGAGTTCTACTTGTAGTTGTGTCAATGTGATATTTAACCTGAATTTAAAGGCTGAGGACAAGTTGTTAGTGGGTCAAGCTGAGGTAGCTGGCCTAACTGGCGTCTTGCTGTATAGAAACATAGGATGGTTTGATTTTCAAGGGACCTAAAGGATGATCTACTCTAGCCCCTCTGCTGTGGGCAAGGACACCTACCTCTGGATAAAGTTGTTTAAAGCCCCATCTAACCTGGCCTTGAGCATCTCAAGGGATGGGGCATCCACAACCTCTCTGGGAAACCTGTTCCAATCTCACAGTAAAGAATTCATGGTATCTAATAGAAACATGCCCTCTTTCAGTTTCAAGCCTTCCTGCCTTGCCCTGTCACTACACGTCCTTCTAAAAATTTGTCCCTCTCTTGCTTTCTCTTGGCCCTACCCTTTTAGGTAATGGAAGGTGCTCTAAGGTTCCTCAGGAGCCTTCTCCAGGCTGAAGAAGCCTGACCCTTTCAGCCTGTGTTCATTAGAAAGGTTCTCCAGCCAAGTTCTGATCACGTTCATTAGCGTTCCTCTGGACTCATTCCATCAGGTCCACATTCTTGGTATGTTGGGGGTCTCAGACCCGGATGCAGCACAGCAGGTAGGCTATCATGGGAAAGGAGTAGAGGGACAGAATCACTTCTCTCCACCTGCCGGCCATGCTTCTTTTGATGCAGCCCAGGATGTTGTTGGATTTCTGGGCTGCAAGGGCACATGGCTAGCTCAAGTTGAGCTTCTCATCAACCAGCAAGCTATTCTTCTCAGGGCACTTCTTGATCCATTCTCTGCCCAGTCTGTGTTTATGCTTGGGATTGCCCCAACCCAGGTGCAGGATCTTGCACTTGGTGTTGTTGAACTTCATGAGGTTTGCACAGGCCCATCTCTCAAGCCTGTTAAATGAGTCTCCTGTTTCCTTGCAGAAAGGACTCACATTTGCCTTAGTCTTTATCACTGATGTACCTAAAAAAGCTTTTCTTGTTGCCTTAGATGTCCCTGGCCAGATTTAACTCTCTCAGGGCATGTTAGCTTTCCTAACATGATCCCCTTGTTGCTCAGACAGTCTCTATTCCCAGGCTACCCATTCTTGCTTCCACACTTCAGGCTTCCTTTCTGTGTATCAGTTTATCCAGGAGCTCCTTGTTCCTCTGTACTGGTATACTGTGGCCTCTGAAGGCTGTCCTTCTCTATCCAGCAAGGGTGGCTGAAAGATTTGGGAATCAGCTCTTGAAGTGCTACAGTGTCCTGGACAGGCATGTTAACATAAGAAAGAACTTAATAACCAGCAGCTATTGTGACCTGGTGATGACTTAAGCTACTCCCACAGGGTCCATGCATCAGTACCCCACTTTGCACATAGTAGCCTATGTGATTTAGATGATGCACCAATATGGCTACACATTTTCCAGTTGGTTTTTGGGGCCGGAAAAGGTTACTTATGCCCTTCTATATGGGGACTGTGCCTTTCTCTCTCTCATGAGAAAGAAAACCATGTGCTTGCTTGTTCTTCCTTTCCCTAGAGAAAGCACTTTCACTGAATTTGTAGTGTTTGCCCTTTCCTTTTGAACTCTGGTAATTTATGTTTGTTTTCACTTCTGCTTCCCTGGTGTTGAGTCCTACCTTTTCTACCAACTTTCCCTGAATGACTGTTCCTCCACTGAATTCTGTTTCTGGCCTCAAAGTTATTTGCCTGTGTTTACAGGGAGAGTAGATATGTATGTAAATGGAGTTGTCTTTGCCATGGTAATATGATCTTCAAAGGCTTGGACTACAGTCACTTTGCTGCATTCTTTACATAAAATAAATAAAATGTTTGTCTTGGCAAGTTTCTGCCAACAGAGTACTGCAAGGGCCCAGTCCTGCTAATTGCCTTCTGCTCCCACTGAACTGATGGGGCCTGTATGCATAAAAAATGAACTTTAGAGTTGCATGGTCCTTAGACAGTTATTTTCATGTTCTACCATTTTGTTCTTTCTGAGGTAATCTGCAAATGATCATTGGCTCTTAACTTTTTCTCGTACCATTTGGTGTGTGTTAAAATACAGGAGTCCACAGCAGCAGAGGAGGGTAACTAGATTCCAGTCCAATGTGGAAACCTGAATGTAGATAGTCCACAGGGAGTCCTGGGTATGAGGCATCACTACCTCTTTTTGTACCTGTTTTTGTCTTTGCTGTTAAAGCTGGTCAGTGTATGTGCTGTGTTGTGGGCTAACAAAACAGGAGCTGTCGTGGGCAAGGAGGCTGCACACCCCAGACTCAGGGAGAGAGGATATATGTAATGTCAAGGGCAAATCAGGAAGAGGGTACATCAGTACTGTGTCATCAGCTTGTACTGCGAGCCCCACCACAGCACAAAGTTCTCAATGGAGTGGACCTGCACCTCAAAAGAGATCTGAAAAGTGATGAAGAAGTGAACGTACAGATGATACTACTTCAGCTTTTGCTAGCCCCTCAGTCTAAAACCTTTTCTGTGTTCTGATACTTTCCTGATCTTGGGACTCTGGAAGATGGAAAAGAACCTCCCACTATTGCCCTTAGCTCCTGTCCTGGTTTTCCAGGAAGAGGTCACATATTGGGGGTTACCCAGACTTCCAAACCACTGGGTACTTGCTTATAGCATGACCCCTCAAACATTACCTGGAATAACTGGGAAGAGGGAATGTAGTATGATACGGATAGAGACAAATGATTCACAGGATTTTTTTTTTAGCTATCAGAGCTACAGTCTTACAAATACAGCAGCTTTTTATCAGAGGGTGTTAATTGATTTAGTCACTGGTGGTACTCTCTATTTGCCCTGGAAATCTAGAGTGAAGCTGTTGAAGTATAAGCTGCTGTAACTGAGGAAGGTATTCTCAAAATCCCACTTCCCAGAATCAGCTAGCCCCAGTTTTTTGCTGCTTGAATGTGGAGTACTGCAGTTTATCCAGACCTCAAGCTAGTCTAGCTGTTAAGGTAAAAACTGGAGGTGTGCAACTATTTAGAAGCTGTAGTGAAATAGCACTAAAGTTGCATCAAAAGGTGTTTAAAAAAAACCCCACAAAATTTCATGAAGATGCCTGCTATGTGGATAATTTAGCATTTTCGTTGTAGGGTGTTCAGACATGGCTCTGAAACAGTTGCCTATTTTACTTAAGAATGCTGCAGCATGTTCTTGCAACTGCAAGAATAGAGAGAATTTCAGCAAGGGAGAGTGTGTTAATTATCCACACAAGATGATCACATTCAGTGCTGTGTTTCATGTGTTTTCTTATCTGCTGAAGCAAAGTAAGAAGAGTTTTGTGCTGAGGCAGTGTGCATGCATGGCTTAGAGCTGAGTAGATGTAAATGGTTAAAAAGGGGTTCTCTGCTAGAGAGGAGGAGGGGAAAGTTAGTGTGCATTCCCAAAAAAGTACATTCCCAAAATAAAAAGCTTACATCATGGATCTCTTCAGTTTTCCCACACTTCTTCCCTAATTATTGTCCTGCAGGACAGCTGATCTATTTCAAACAGGAAGCTGTTTACAGATAACACTTGCAACTGTTTTGTCTGATTTGTTGAACTGTCGAAAAGCAAAAGACAACCTCTTTTCAAATTAAAAACTGTCAGACTTCTGTAAACAGCAGCAATGAGGTTCATCTGTGCAGTTTCCCTGCAGGCACAGAGCATTGTGCAGCTCCCATTCTCTAAGCAGCCATAAGGTAAGAGACTTTTTGCTTTCACTCTGTAAAAACATATAGAGGAAAAATCTGGATGTTTGTTAGGGGGCTGCTTTGTATATGGCAAAATATGATTGACAATCTCCAGATAGAAGGGGAAGGTAAAGGAAAAAAGAGCTTGCTCGAGTCTGTTGGATAACATTGGACTTTTCTATTGAGAAGCACCCATGTGGAGAGGATTTTTTGGAGAGGATTTGGATTTCTAGCAAAATCAAATCACTGTGCAGAACTGAATACCTAACTTTACATGTCACACAGTGAAACCGAGCAACTGGACTGGAAATACTAACACTTTGTCTATTGGTGTAAAACAAATACTCTTTGATTCTTGGGTATTGAAAGATTTTTAAAATGTTGCAAATGTAAAAACTGTTGCCCTATGTTTTCCTCTCAGTACCTGAGATCTTTGAATTTCATATCTATATGGTTGTTTACATGATATGAACATTTAAGGTATTATAGTAATCAGAAAATATAAAACAAACACTTGTTTAAAGATCACGCAATGATACTATCACTAAAATTTTAGTATTTTACTGATGCCGCATAAATAAGGTGTGCCAGTGGGGTAGACAAGAAGTAAGACTTCCAAGCTGAGTATTCCTTTTAACAATGTTTGGACTATCTTTCATAAAATTCTTTCATATCTTTCTATTCTTTCAATTCTTTCTATCTTTCATAAAATAGATGTATCTGTTAAAATGAAATTATTGCTTTAATTAATGCGTCAAAGAAAATGTGTAAGTTAAATTCATAATCAAAATAGCATTTTAAACATGGAATAGTCCTACAGTCAATAGAGAATTGCTCTGTGGAAGCAGCAGGAATCTACTATGTTATTTCTAATTGTATGTTATGTTCAAGGGTCTTTTATTTTCTGATTATTTTGAGTGATTTTACACTGTCTCTAAAGCTCTTTTTAGTCATCTCTAGGGTTGTCCAAAAATTCTTGAACCAGAATCTTTTTGAAGTAGGGAGACTTTTGGCAGAGTAGCTTTTTAAAGAAAAGTGTCAGTTTTCTGGGATAGTTCAGTTCTTTTGTCAAATTATTTTGGCTGAAAACCAGGACAATTTAGCCAAAAATATTCTCATGGTATCTCTTGGGAAGTGTAGTTTGTGCTATGCACTGCATTTCACTACTGGCTGAACTTCACAGCTGAACCATGCTTCCCGTAAGGCTGTGTGGTCAGGGTCTCACTATTTTAATTTCCCTTGGTGAAAGGATTGTTAAGGGTGTACTTTGGAAAAGTTAGTCTCGTGAAAGAGGCCCAGACTGGGCTCATAAGGCATCAGCTTGTTGATAACTAGTTGGCAGCTTCTTAAAATTCGAGTGTTTTCTTCTGATCTGCACAAGCCACAGGCCATCCTGGTTTTCAGCCATGAGAGTAGGACCCTTCAAGAGCGTGTCAGCACAAGGTTTAAATTCTTTTGATGTTTTTAGCCATGCAAACACCTGTACAAGGGAGAGAACATTTAATAACATTTACACGGCTTTGTTAATGCTTCTGCCAACTTTTGTGCTAAAAGTGTTCCATTTTATGTATTTGGAACTGAAAAATGCGAGGGAGTATGGCTGGATTTAAAGATCTTTTAAGAACTCTTAAGTCAAAAGGAAAGCAACCTACTAGGAGCCTGAAGCTTTAGAAAGAGGTGGTTTTGAAAATCCACCAAGATGTCATATCACTCATCTAAGTGCATCTTCAGAAAAATCTAGCCCTGGGTCATTTGCCTACAGTTGTATAAGATGTCTATAGGCAAGGGAAGAACAGAAGTTGGTCTGCTTGAGCACTTCATCAGTGTACCAGTCTCTTTAATTTTTCCTTAAGATACAAGGATTCTTAGCTTCTGGAACTATTTGGATGCTGCTTCCTCAGAACTTTATCAGAAGATTGGTTAAGAGGTCCATAGGGTGTCCTAGAGGCCAGGACAAAGCAGTATGACAAATGGTGAGGAGTTACAGGGTTTACATTGTTTTCCTTTTGCACTGGATCATAGAATGTTTTGGGTTGAAAGGGACTTTTAAGGATCTAGTCCAACAGCATGTGAATGAGACATAGACACGAATAAATAGTTTCTCAGTGCTGCAAGTTGGATACCAGACTCCAGACCAAGAACTGGCTATGATTATGTGCAATATGGAGTGAGTGGAGGAGGGCTAAGTGCTGAAGAAAGTGACTCACCACAGTCAGACAAGTGTGTGATGGAGGTGGAAGCTTACCTTGAATTTGTGTCCCGAGTTGTCCTTCAAGCACGGAGATTTCGAAAAATGACTCTGGGAAAAGTGTTTTCTACAGTTCTCTGAAAAATAGACTGTTTCTACTCAGCTGTCGCATAACAACTGCTGTCTGGGACCACTTTCCTGGTAAGAAGGAGGTCTAAATGCAGCTCATTGCAGTGCTCCAAACCTCTACCTCCCATCTGCTGGAAAGGTGTCCTTGTAACTAACCAACATAGTCATTTGGTGTGCTTGGAGGAGACTGAATGATTTTGGATGTGTTTCCTTGATGGAAATGTGCTAAGTGGGAGAAGTGTGCCTTATTATTCTCCTCAGGCAAGATGTTGACTATCTCTGGTCTGTATGGTAAGAAAAGCTTAGGCACTCAAGTTTTCCAGTAAAACCACAGGAACCTCCTACCTCTTAAGGTGGCTGAATTGTTAGGAGATGGTTCTGGATGCTTTGTTTGAACCTGGGATGAGGCTACAGAGAGTGATTCAGAGGTAATGTTACCTGTATTGAACTTAAGCAGCTCTCATTTGGAGGTTTAGGGGTGAAAAATGGGGGAAAAGCATGGAGAGTGGAAAGAAAAACTGTTTCAACTTTGGCTGGATTTTGAAGAATGAAGCTGTACCCACAGATATGCTTAAGTTCCTATCTTTGGTCTTAAGCGTGGCTCTCTTTGTGATTATTTTCTTTTTGTCCTGTTTGCTAATTGCAGAATTAGCGAAATAACAACAACAAAAATCCTTCAGACAGTATTCTAAGATCTGTTTGAGTGATTTTCAGGCTTAATTGTGGATCACCCCAAAATCTCCTGTGATGATGCTGATGATTTTAGCAAATACTAAAACTTGCTGACAGTAGGTATGCATTTATTCATCTGAACTCTTTGGAAATGGTCTATGGGCCTCCAAGAGACCATGGATGAGATGTTGATTTGATTTCCATCCTGGTCTGAATGCCAGGGTCAAGCTGCTCTTTGGAAGGACAAAATTATATAAGTGATTGTATAATTTTAATTTTGCTTATATAGACAGGTTTTTTTATTATCATCAGAGAAAGTTTTGTAAGAGATCTAATTTTTAGGAATTAAAAGAGCTTTAAAAATTGATATGAAATAACTGGCATTGTTAGATGGTGCAGTAATAATAGCCAATCAACTGAAAACACGAGATAAGAATCTAATGAAGACCTAACACAGGAAACAGGAAAATAAAAGTGTCTTATTAAATAGGAAAAGAAAAATGTGTATCAATGAGCTTTCTTGTCAGAGTGGTATTAATAAGAAAACATCTCTGATGTCTCACTGAAGTGGAGTTATGTTCAAGAAATGTTAAGGAAACAGATACTGAGAACATGTGGCAGAACAAGAGAAGGACAAAATGCTGCATGCTGAGAAGATTTCAGGGTGCTGGATCTGTCAGCAGCACCTACAGATGTATTTGCAGTGTTTCTCTCCAGCTAAACTGCAAAGAACGTGCAGTTTAAAGTTAATGTAGAGATGATGTAATGAGAGCCATGCTATGAGCTGCAGCTGAAAATACTCTTTACTGGAGGTTATCTTCCTTTGCTCTTTAGTATCTTCATGATTTTGGTTTATTCAGCCAAAAGAGAAGGCTTTGGGGTGACCTTTCAGTACCTGAAGAGAAAGATGGAAAGGGACTTTTTACAAAGGCCTGTAGTGACAGGATAGGAGGAGAGGGCTTCAAACTGAAAGAAGGCAGGTTTAAATTAGATATTAGAAAAATATTATTTATTATATGATATGAGATTGATATGATATGTCAGAATTGCCTTTTATGTAATTGTGGAGAGTCAAAAAGTCTCTATTGTTGTTCTCTACTTTTATGTTGTACAAAGCCCATGGAGGGGCTTGGTGGGCAGGTGGTATCCAGCCAACCCACCATGTCTGACAGACTGTCTCCTAAACAATTCTGTATTTAAACGTGCATTTGCCTATTTACACTTCATGACAAGTGATTACATTCACACAGTTCCGTGATTTTAGAGAAGTGCTGAGTACATGGACTTTCTGTTATGTATAGAACTGATGTCTCTGTATCTTTTTGGCAGTACTGAGTAACTGTGTCAAGTCTTGGTTTTGTTTTCATTGTTCATTTTCATAAGTCAAGTGGTGGATGTTGGGATTTCATGTCAATGTACTCTTTAACCACTGAAGCTTTTTATTTTATTGGTAACTGCACAATCAGAACAGTAGCATTAGTTTTTGTTTCTGTAAGTGCCCTATAAATTCTGAGCAGGCAAGCATGGAGGTTCAAGTGATCACTGCTTAGCTGTTCTGCAGCTTCTTAATTGGTGCACAGCTGCCCTCTGGTCATGTTCTAGCTGTGTGAAAGGTACATCTGCTGCTATCGTTAGAGAATTTGCTGAGTACCAAAGCAGGTGGAAATGCCAGTAGTTATCACTTACTTAACATAGCTTGTTATATTATTCCCCAGAAATGTACATTATTAAAATACAGAAATCTCTCAGGGCAGTTGGTTAGATGGAAGGACTTTAATGAAAAAATTTCAAAGGGAGTTGTCATCCTCAAGAATCTTTTGGTAGCAGAAGCATCATGGCATACAGTTAAGGGAAGCAACACTTTCAGTTTATATGAATTCAGATAAACACCCTTGCTTGCAGATTGTGTTCTACACTTTCTATCTGTTTCCTTCTGAATTTCATACTTCTTTTTCAAATGAGATTATCAAAAGCATCTCAAACTGTATGCAATCCCTTGTACTCCTCAGATTTTAAAAAT